AATAACTGCTAACCCCCACTGCTAACCCCCACTTGATTGCATGTAGAAAATATGAATCATTGTTCAGACACAGTCAAACCAATTTTTTTTTCAAATAACATAAATCAGAGGCTGGGATGAGTTAAGGAAAAGCCTTTTAAGCTCTAGACCACAGGATTGACATATTCAGATTAAGTTGCTTCTGGTGTCATCTTTAGAAATCCCCAAATCTTGACTCAATATTTACCTGTGTTTCCTGTATATTTACTTTAAAATTTGTCTCACTTTTAGCACTAATACCTGACATCTCTGAAGCTTAGTTCCTTTTCCTATAAAACCGGGATAACAATTCCTAATTTACAAAATGGTTATGAGGGTTAAAGGAAATATAGATTAGGTGGTATAATATATTATTGCTAAAAAATCAACTATTGTATACAGTGTGTACTGAAAACATGTTTGTTTCTTCCTCCTGTCATGGGTGAACATGGCTCAGTTGACTGAAGGGGCCTGAGATCCGTGATTAAAGTGGACTGCCAGAGTGGGCTGTGTACCAGAGCTGAGACCCCACAACATGGTCTGGGGAGCTTTTTACTCAGGGGATGAAGGGAGCCACACATACACCATTAACCTTAAGGGAATAAGGAGGCTCTGAGCCTGACAGTCTTTCACTCTTTTAAAATGAAAGGAGTGGTGAACATTAGCAGGATAAAGCTATTCTGTGTTCTAGGATTCTGCCAAAGGTAATGGGAAGGTCTACAATCAAATTTAGAAGGAATGGTGTTCTTGCTGTGCATTTGTTCAGTGATGTTTCTATGTACCACCTAAAATCATCTCCCTGACTTTCCTCCCACCCCATTCCCTCCTACCTCCAATCAAGAACATGACTCTAGGACAAAACTGTGCCTGGAGACTGAGCAGAGCCGAGGCTCCAAGTGGGTAATGAAGTGGCCCTAGCTGTCGTAATTGGAAGGCTGCAGAGCCAGGAGCAGGCAGGATCTGAAGCAAGAATCTCTGCAATTTTTATCCACCTTCACCCTCTCTGAAGCATTCTTTGTCTTAGAAGAAGTGGGAAAAAATGATTAGAAAACATAAAATTGCCAGGGACATAGCAGTAAAAACACCACCATTATTTTTCAGGGGCATTATACATTCACATGTGCTTGAATTCAATCTTTTCTTCCTCCCTATTTCTTGTAACTTTCTGATTTTTCTTTCTTCAATATCTCCTTGCTTTCTCTTTTATCTATAGGCTCCTCTCAACAGTTTCTGGCATCAAGGCTTTCAAATATATATTGTTAAATATTCTTAACTCAATGTAATTAAACAAAGGAAGGAAGTCAATTTGAATCAATGACTAGCTGGAGAAATAAGCAATTTTTAAGGAAATGAAGTTTTATTACTCTTAGGGATATACTGAAACTATGGAAAACAGTAACGGAGCTCCATCACTTAGGAAATTGATGGCTTCCTTAACTTCTATGTAAGTACATATTGTACATTTACTGTTTGAAATAAAATATGGGTGTTTTTGTGTGTGCATGTGCTAAAGACCTTTACTCTTTAAATAGACCAACATTTATTTCCTTAAAAATTGCTTAGCAAACTTTTTTTTTATTTGAACATCAAGGATATTGAGATATAAATGCAAATCTCAGTTGTCTAAAACTTGGTGCTAATGAGGTCAAGGCCACACTGTAAATCTCTGTATCTGCCAGTTACTCTCTCTATTGTGTGATCACAAGTGTGTGAACAGCAAGCTCTGGTCATAAGCAGCACTAGGGGAGAGGAGGTGGGTGAATCTGTCCACGGTGCCTCCAGGTATTGGAAAATGGCTCTATTTTCATCTGCTATGCATCCATGGTCAGTAGCTTCATCTTTCTCTGTGACAATCACTTATCTTACAATTTTAAAGATAATTTTAATACCATCATTGTTACTTTGCTTATTTATTTCATATTTCAATTTTCTGTTATGTAGTAATATTACTTAACACTAATGAAAATTTTCTGTTTTCAGTGGAATTTCTTGCATGTGTTTTTATACCCTGCTTGTTAAGGTTAATAATACTATGTGAGCTCATAGAATTGCATCGGATCTCTTTGGAGAAAAAAATAATGATCCGTTTCATAAGATGAGTGATTTTTACAAACTTCTCATTCCAACTCAAAGAGTGCTTTTCTCCTTGATTAAAATGTATTTCTCAATTAAATTAAAATGCAAATATAGACAGCCTATGTTTATGGTTATAACAGAATTATTTAAAGAAGGTTTTAAATCAACCTGCTGTTAATATTTCATGCAGAAAATGTTGGTTTTATAGTTGGGCCGGTACTGCCATGTTGCATTTTCAAGATTGCTTAAAGTGCTATGGGAACTTAATCATACTGTCCAGGTTTTACCAGTTTTTATCCACTCTTTCTTTTTGGCTGCTTTCTTATATACTTCATAAGTTATGTTGATGATGTTGAAGAAATATCAAGTACTAAACCTTTAGATCACCTTGAAATTCAGTTATGAAAAATTTGCTATTTGTTTTAAAGAAATATTTTATTACAAAAATTAGAGCAACTCTTACACTTAATAGTATCATATTCTATAACTTATTATAAAATTAAATATCTGGAAGCCTACTTCTAGAAACAACTTAGTCCAGCCTTTTAATTTGTATTAGGAATATAAAAATGTCTGTGTTAGAAGTTGCACTTAATGCTATGGATTTAATTATGATCCTTTTAGGATTTTTTTTTCTAGCTTTCTGTCACTTCTCACAAACACTTCAATTAAGATAATTTTAAAATATTTTATAACTTGACTTTTTTTCCCTTTTTATTGTTTTTAGTGATCTCAGTGAAAACCAAATTCAGGCGATTCCAAGGAAGGCTTTCCGCGGAGCAGTTGACATTAAAAATTTGTAAGTAGATTTTTTTTTTAATTTCCAGTGTTTTAAGTTATCGTCTGTTTTATCAAAGTCAAGTTTATATTAAATAAACTGTCAGAAAGAAATGCTGAGAGCCCAGTGTATCTTTATGCTTGCTTAGGAAACTTTGTAACAGTAGGTTTCACAAGGTATTCAGGCTGTTTGAAGAGATTCTCATTTAGAATTGTCTGGTAACTGAAGTCATTTATCAATGCATTCTTCAGACCTTGTGATTAATCTTTTCACAAAATAAATTATTTGATTAAAAATATTTGCAATATATTTTTCCCCTTTTTTTCTCAGCTTACTTTAAAAATTCCCTTTTTAATTGCTGTTGGTCTTTATTGGAAATGTAGTAAGTGAACTATTTTCTCTGGAAAGAGTAGATAATATTTTCTTGTTGTATAGCCTGGGGCTACAGCTTTTTCTAGAGCTTTAAGATCACCATTTTTATGAAATAACAAAAGGGTGTAAATGAGAAAATTATGTGTTTCTCCTTGTGTGAATATTTTTCTTGCATCTTTTCTCCCTCACAGTTTTTATGAAATTATATACATACATCTGTATATGTGTATGTGTGTATATATAGCCTCATTAAAAAAAGAAAGAAAAGTACATTTCTGTATAGTCCCTTGATATATCTTCAATCTGGTGTCTTGTAGGAGTGTTTTTTTTTTTTTTTAAGTGCCTATAGCTCTTAAGGTACATTTCAGGTTTAAGATCTCAAGGATTATCCTGATATTGTCAATATATATCTTTATAAATTTTAAAATACCATATTAGCCTTTAAAAATGATAGTTTTTGATTGACTGCAAATGCTGATACCAATGTTTTCCTTGGCTTTTACATAAGTTTGGAATGTAGGGGGGAGGAAGCCCTTGTGTGCTGAGATTAACTATTAGGAATTCAATATTTCTTAGCTAGTAATAAACAAGGCAGGCACTTTTTCAAGAATTAACTTATATTCAGAATTCTCCATGGTGGGATCCAACACTGTTTTTCCCATAGCAAAAGTGGGATAGATGTTTTCCCTTGTCAAAAAGACAACTGTTTAAAAAAAACACAGATCTCGACTACTACATTTTCTCCTCAGTGTATGTTTTTGTTTTAAATGTGTACTGTCTGAAAACACAGGTAAAAATAGAAAACTACAGTCTTCTATGGCACAAATGTATAGAGCCATTAAAATCATGGCTCTAGGTTTTTATGAGTGCTCAGGTTAAAAGGATTTCTTTTTATCTGTGCTAGCTAGGTTTTGGAGTCTTCAGGTAGATTCAGAGATGGAGGGTGTTCAAATATGCCTCTGTGTATTATGCCTGGTCAAAAAGCATAAGAATTCCTATGCAGCATGTACTCAAGTTGCCTTTATGTCACTGTAAAAGTATAGCAGTGGCTACAGTTGACCACCCCTTGGGACGACTGTTCACAATCTTGCAATAGTATTACCTCTAAGTCCTTAAAACAGGTGGCTTTTAATCTTCTTAGTAAAGCTATTCAGGGAATCCAAGTCTACAAGTAGCCCTTTTCCCATATCTAAGGATACATTTGGGAATGGGGACCAGTTGTGGTGGAATTCTTCCTTATGTCCTCTTCGTTTATCCTTAAAACATGTGATTTTAAAAGTTTAGAGATAAAAGGGAAACTGAGATGCTAACCAATGTGCTATGAGGAATTGAATTTGATTTAGCAGGATTTTTAAAAAGAATCTTTTTTCTTACACATGAATGGTTTGCCCCAGAAATATAAAGAATGTTGTTATGTATACAATGAGATGAGTTTTGAATTGGAGTGTCAGAGTGTTTTGCTATTTTTTAGATTTGTAGACATGGGAAAATTAGTTAACTTCATTGAGCTTTAGTTTCCACTTTTATAAAGTGAATAGAATAGTTGCTTGGTTTTGCTGTGATTATAGAGAAATAAGATATGTGAAAGGCCTTTTAAAACAGTCAAATGCTATGAAAATATGGTATGGTATTTCAGTCTGTAACTGTTTAACCATTGCACTACTTAGAGTTAGCCCTGAAAATGTATAGTAAGGAGACAGGAAAGTAGAGTATGAAGTAATTAGCTTTATTAGGCATGGATATGACTGTTATGGGTCAACTAGACATTGAATTACAAAATGGAAAAACAAAAATAAACTAGAATGTACTAAATGAATGTATGCAAAACTCTGATTAATAAACAAGACAGTAAGTGTTATAAGAGCTGACAAAAGAAAGAGATAAAAGTGTTGCTTGAAATTATCAGGGAATGCTGGAGGAAAAAGTTTGTGAAAGGAAATACAAAGAAACCTGATTAGCTTGGTTTGTATTGTATACTGGTTAGTAGTAATTGGCAAGGGTGGATTGAAAAAGCTAGACATTTTTAAGAAAGCTATCCAAGGCCTAATTTCAGGGTTTTGATTAAGTTGGAAGATTAAAACCATAGTACAGTAGTGTGTGTGTGTGTGTGTGTGTGTGTGTGTGTGTGTGTGTGTGATATAAGGAATTGAATGTGACCATTTTTTAAGGCAAAGCAGTATGAATCCTGAATAGCAGCAGTGGTCAGAAGCATAGAGATCTGAATATGGGGGAAGCTGAGTAGAGTGGCTTTCAAATGAATTCAGCTTTGGAGGTTTATGTTCCTATGGAAGAAAAGTGGCTTTAGAGACTATTTCAATGCTAAATGATGATGGTCAAAGGAAAATTGATTCCCACTTTTCTCACTGCCTTCCATATGACAATGTGAAAGACAGTGAGGGCAACATTGAAATACCACAGTGCATTATAGGTTTATTTAATTAATTAGGATCATAGCTATAACATTATAGAATTCTGCATTATACAAAATGGTATTTTCTTTAAATAAAAAAATAGTTCAAACCACATTGTTAAAAAAATTTTCAATCTCAAGGATTTGTGTGAAGTTTAGTCTTTTCATTAAAACTTAAGAAAGATACTTGTTAAAATATATTAAAATTGGGGGTCAATTTTAATTTGTACAACTATTATATGTGTATACTATTTTACAAGTAATAACTCAACAAAATCCCATTAATATTAATATTAGCACTATTAATACTATTAAGATTCAGGGTGAGGAATAGGTAGAGTGCTTTGCCCTATTTATCATGTCAGTGTGTGCATTTACAAGTTGGGAAAACCTGCATGGTGCTAAGATGCTACTGTTCAGAGTTATTCAGAGAGTAAAAGAGAAAAAAGAAGGCTGGACAGAAGGAATATGTGCTGCATCAAGATGCTATTTTATGTCGAACTATCTAAAAGCCCAGTCTGATGCACTATAACAGGTTTATTGGATTTACCACATTCAGACCTGATTCAGAGCAAATTACAGTTATCACAAGATTTTCACTGGAAGCACTTGCTTTAATCTCATGGATTGGCTAAATATGCTCAAGGCAGCATACTGACAATATGAAATTGATGCTGTGGAAACTTTGCAAATTAGCAGATTTTATTCCCCTTCCTCCAGGCAAGCCACATTAAAACTATTCTAAACAGATGGACATTTATCTTGCTCTTAAACATCTCCAAGGAGATTTCCCATAACTTTTTTGTTTGTCTCTATTAATTTCTTAGCTGGATTAAAACCACTTATATTTTATTTTGTTACCTTATCTTCTTTGGCCACTATTTAAACCACTTCTTTTTCCTGACAGTTTAGATAGTGAGATATGAGAAGAACAAGATTATATTAAAATATTAACTATATTATAGTGTTTATAATAGTCACTGGCAGCACTTTCGATAGATTTTACATCTTCGTTTTTGAACTCCCAAGCCAAATATGAACTAAACTATTGGTACCATATCATTACCAACAGATGCGTCACCAAAATGATAACCAGTGTTTATATAACTTTTCTCTAGAAATTTTGCGTATTCATTTCAAATATTTAACAGTGATGCAATAAAGTCTTTGCTGCCTCCTAATCAAATCTTGAATAAAGACATGTTACAATGAGCCACTGATTTGTTTTCAGGTATCTATTCAGCATTTTCATTTAACTGAATAATGTAGGAGAATATTCTAACTAAATCTTGCTTTGTTGGCAGACATGTGAGCTTGTTTTTAAGTAAGTACTCTATAAGAATAAAAACGTTTCGAAAGTCTCTTGTTTTTATGAGAAAACATTACTAGTTACAGTTATCCAAGAATGTAAGCAAAGATATGTACGAATGTATACACTTTAAAATTAGACTACTAGCTTTTATTCACATCACAAGCACAAACTCTAATTTACTTTACCATTAGTTTCTTTAGTGAGTTCAATGTGGATACTTAAAATGGTTAAATTCCATCAAGAATTATTTTAGATATACTATGTAAAGTAAATCACACCTGTTTTTTTCTTTTTTCATTTTGCTGTACATTCTCAATGTGTACTCTATGTTCTAACCAAACATTGCTATTCCTTGTTTATAAATAAATATGTCCCTTTTATCCATTAGCTTGCATTATTCCAGTTCCATTAACCCCACATGTGCTATGAGCCTTATACTCTTTTCCAGGGGAAAATATTTATATTTATTCTCTTTTCCACATGAATTGATTTATAGATTAGGGTTTAAGTCACAAGATGATTCACTATGGTTCTTTTGAGTAAGTCATGATGTCATTTGGAAAAAAAAATCTATGGCCATGACATTTTAGGAAAGAAATCACCTAATTTGGGAGGCATTGTTTATTACCTATAAGATGATTTGCCAAACAGGAAATAGAGTTAATCTATATTTTGTTGTAGAGCGATTTACATTACTTAGACATTTCTTTTTTTTTTTTTTTTGCTGGAGCCGTTGTCTTTAATTTTTTTTTTTTTGGGGCCGTTTTTTTTTTTTTTTTCTGGGAGGCAGTATCTTTATTTTTTTTTTTTTGGGGCCGTTTTTTTTTTTTTTTTCTGGGAGGCAGTATCTTTATTTTTTTTTTTTTGGGGCCGTTTTTTTTTTTTTTTTCTGGGGCCGTTGTTTTTAATTTTTTTTTTTTTTTTTTT